AGATGTAATTAAAAACCTATCAACAAAGAAAAGCCCAAGCCTGATGGATTCATTGCTGAATTCTACAAGAAATTTAGAGAAGACCTAATTCTGCTACTTCTCAAATTCTTCAATGAAATTATAAGGGAAGCAGTACTCCCAAATTAATTCCTGGAGTCAAGTATTATCCTGATACCAAAACTAGAGAAGGATGCAAGCAAAAATGAGAACTACAGGCTAACCTCCCTACAGAACATAGACGCAAAAGTCCTCAATAAGATATTGGCAAACAATGCAGCAAATCATCAAGAAAGTTATACATCAAGACCAAGTAGGATTCAGCCCAGGGATGCAGGGATGGTTCAGTGTATGCAAATCAATACATATAATACACCATATTAACAGAGCCAAGGGGAAAAAAACATATGACCATCTCAATAGAAGCAGAAAAAGCATTTGACAAAATCTAACACCCATTCATGATAAAGACCTACAGAAAATTGGAATAGATGGTCCTTATCTCAAGCTGATAAAAGCTCTCTATGACAAACCAGCAGCCAACATCATACGAAGTGGTGAAAAACTGCAAACTTTCACTCTAAGATCAAGAACAAGTCATGCATGTTCTTTATCACCAATCTTATTCAATATAGTTATGGAAATATTAACCAGAGCAATTAGAAAGGAGAAAGAAAAAAATGAATAAAGGTAGGAAAAGATTAAGTTAAATTATCATTATTTGCAGATGACATGATGCTCTCTATGTAGAAGAGCCCAAAAACTCCATCAAAAGACTTCTAGATTTAATAACTTAATTCAGTCACCTGGCTGGATACAAAGTTAACACTGAAAAATCTGTAGCCTTTCTGTATACAAAAGAGAAGCTCAGCGTGAGATAAATTGGGATAAAAACTCCTTTCACAATAGTATCAAAAAAATTAAATACATTAGCAATGAATCTAGAAGAAAGTAAAAGATGTCTACATTGAAAACTATGGTACTCTGAAAAAGGACATCAAACAGGATATCAGAAAATGAAAAGATATCATTTCTTCTTGGGTAGGAAAAGCCAGTATAATGAATACTTCCAAAATTGTTATAAGATTTAATGAAATCCTAATCAAAATTCCAGTAGCAAATCTCACAGAATTAGAGAAAATAATCCTTAAATTAATTTGGAACCAGAAGAAACCTAGAATAGAAAAGGCAACTCTGGGCAACAAAGAAAAGGCAGGAGACATCACAATCCTTGACTTGAAATTATACTACAAAGCTACTGTGATAAAAATAGCATGGTACTGGCA